AATATCAAAAGTATACATTTTTTATTACCTTTCACATTATACCAATTTTTCATATATAAATAAATGTGTGCAGCTTATGATCTTTCTTTACTGTGCACACTATTAACATGGAGCGATAGCTTAGAATAAAATTGAACAAATTCCATCACTTTTATTTATTATTTTATTCTTTGCGCTACAATTTTTGCAGTTTTACTCTAAAATATCACTCTGGACTAGTGGTGTGCACGAAAAATTTATCTTAACTGCAAAAATGAATAGTTTTATATATATATATATATATATATATCCAATATTGGTGTCATTTGAAAAATAATAAAAAGTTATGAATTCTGATATACTTTTGTAACAATCGAAGTACAAATAAAATAGTTATAACACTGTAAAATAGAAGTTTTTTTTAAAGCACTAAATCATTTTTTATTTTTATAATACAATTTGGTGTCTATCAAAATTGATGGCGTTCTTGATGGATTGACTGAATTTAGTGATCTATGGAGAACAATTTGAAGAAAACCATATCTTTATATAATGAGACCTATGAATGGATGACATGTTTTCTAATTTACTACCTCCGTTCTTAAATAAATGCAACACTTTGACTTTTACACTATTCACATGTTCTACTTTGACTAATTTTATTTATTAATGTAATAATATTATTTTTTGGAAAAAATATTGTTAAACTTGTCTCATTGTAAATTTTCATAATCTAATTTTTTTTTAATGTTTTTACTAATACAAAATCATTTATATTAATGATCAAAGTTGTGTCTCGGCAAGTGTGAAATGTTGACCGTTGCATGTATTTAAGAACAGAGGAAGTATTTTCTAATAATACGGACAAGGGGGAAAGACACATAGATCTTTTTAGAGGGTAAACGTCTATTTTTATAAAACTACTCCTTTCCTATATATAAATAGGTGTTATTTAGAATCCGTTTGGTAACACTGAAATTGACTGAATCAGACGAATCTATTAAAATTGATGAAATTCCAGTTGAAGTATCAGAATTGGCTGAATATGTTAAATTATGGGGAAAGTATATTTTGAAATTATTTTTATTAATAAAATAGAGAGAAAACTATATTAGCAATTTTCTTAAAATGATCATCTACAATAATTTCAATCAATTCAGCCAAAAAAAGTAACTCCATTTTTACTCGTTTGGATTATTACACAATCTAGGGCATGTTGATAAGTCATATTTTTATATTTAATACTACGTATATTATATGTAAACATTGGAGCAAAAATAAAAAAAGTTATAACACTTCAAAAAATGGGTTTTTTACTTAATCCCAATTTAGAAATTTGTCAATGTTTAACAAATTCTAAAATAAGAATTGGAAGATCTAAAATCCCACATGGGGTTACGTTTTGAAGTAGACATTTTGCAGAAAATAATACCAATGTTCTACAAAACAAACATGGTTTATAAAAATTAAAATCTAGCTAAAGATCATATGATGGAGATCATAATAATAAAAAGATAACTTTTACAACTTTATATTTCTTATTGTTGATATTCCCTATGACTCTCATTGGGCGGCTTTAATAGAAAAAATGACATTAAAAAATCATGGACCTATTTTTCGTTGACAATACAAACATATATTGAACATCTTCTTCATTTAGAATGTTATAGAATCCGTTTGGTAACATTGGTGAAATTCTATTAAAATTGACGAAATTCTAGTTGTAACATCGGAATTGGCTGCATATGTTAAATTATGAAAATAGTACATTTGAAATCTATTTTTTTAATAAAATAAAAAAACTATATGAAAAATAACTAAAAATGATAATCTGTAGTAACTTCAATCAATTCAGCTTGAAAAGTAACTTTAGTCTTACTCATTTTGATTATTACACAATCTAGAGTTCGATAATAGTTATATTTTTTATATTCAATATTGATCTCATATGAAAGATCACAAAAAAATATGAATTTTGATATATTTTTTGTAAAAATTGGAGCAAAAATGAAAAAAGTTATAACACTTCAAAATTTTGGGAATTTGATACTTTGGGGCCCAGCCACTACAACTCCTAGCCGATTGCCTTCTTCCTTGCCCTCCTAGCCGGAATCGGATCCTCTGCCGCACGGCAGAGTGCCTTGCGCGCAGGGGTCCATCCGATGGAGAAGAGAAGGCCTCGTGATCTGTGCGTTGAAATCTCCGACCGTCCACTTTTTGATCGGGTGGTTCCCGCAAGCCAGGCACAGTGCCTTGCTTTGAAGTATTGCAGAGGCTCTGGATCCCTCCTAGCCGACTGCCTTCTTCAATTCATTGCCTTGGGTTATTCAGTACTTTGAAGTTTGAAGTAAAAGTGGCCACGTGGCTTTGGGATCGCAAATGAGAGAATTGTGCATAGTTAGACACGTCTAACGTATGATTCTTTGAGAGCAATTATGTCTTTTGATGAGCTATTTGTTTTCTTATATATAAATAGAATACCAAAATTTTACTGAGATACTCGGTATTTCTGACGGTAGTGGGTACAAAAGAATTTGTGACAATATTGAAAAGAAAAAATAAAATACTGCGTAATAGGTTGAAAAATATGAAAGAAAAGATATAAGTAAAAAATGAATAAAAATTGAATATTTTTTAAAAGAAGTTAATCAATAAGAGCAAGTGTAACAAAGTAAAAATTAAATTACAACTCAAAAAGAAAGTACAACAAACAAGGAATATTGAGAGAGTATTACATACATTCAAATTTTGTTCGGGTAATGAGAGAGTATTGAGAGAGTACAACAAAACTATTGAGATCCATGTTGACAAATACTACATCCGTCCTCCCCCTAAGTTTGAGAAAAGAGAAGGTGACACGGTTATTAATAAAAGTGAGTTTATGTAGTTGATATTGAGTTGATAAAGCAAGAATAAAGTAAGGATGATTTAGAACCACACAAACTTTACCAAATAAGGTATGAGACAATCTTAGTGGGACGGACCGAAAAGGTAAAATGGGACAATCATAGTGGGACGAGAGGAGTAATACGTACTACCTCCGTTCTCTTTTAATTGCAACGTTGGACTTTTTGCACTATTCACATATTCTACTTTGACTATATTTTATTTATTAATGTATTATAAATTAAATTTTTAAAAAATATTGTTAAATTCTTCTCATTCTAAATTTTCAAAATATGAATTTTTTAATTTTTTTTACTAATAATGTATGAAAGATATTAATGATCAAACATGTGCGTTGGCAAACGTGAAATGTTGACTGTTGCAATTAAAAGGGAGAGAAAGTACAATTTAACGAATGAAATTTAAAAACACCGAATTACAAATAAATTTGTGACAAGGGGAATTTTTTTCAATAAGTACTCCCTCTGTCCCATTTTATAAGATATCTTTACTATTCACTTAGTCAACACAAATCACTCTTAATCTCTTACTTTATATATCAAAATTTTATGAAATTTGAATTATTTTTTGCAGGTTTTGTAGCGGTTTTAATATAGTTTCTGAATATGTATTTTTTTTTCCTGAAAATAATTTAAGTGCAGACAGAGATCCGTTTGCTTTATCGTCGGTCAAACATCGTAAACCGAAAAGTATCTTATAATTCGGGACGGAGGGAGTATGAATCTAACTATTATTAATAATTTTATAGTTCAACTACTACCTCCGTAACGTAAATATCTTCCCACTTTCCTTTTTTGGACGTAACACTAATATCTTCCCATTTCTAAATTTTCCCATCATACCCTCAATAATTTTAAAAATAATACACTATTACACCTACTTTTTTTGGATTTATCCTTCATTCCATCACATTATTTCACTATCTTCCCATCATACCCCTAATAATACATATCTCCTTTCACTATTCTTAATCTACCGACTTTTCAAATGGGAACATCCCAATGTTACGGAGGTAGTACATCATAATCCAAGCCAGAGGATAAAGGTTTCAGATGTAGCCGTCAGTCACAGAAACAAATGGTCGTGTAAGATTATGGATTCGTTGTCCGTTTCATGAGACAAAATAATGATTAAAGGTTAGTCGCTAAAAATCCTTTAGGCATCACATAGGTCAGAATACGATATGGAGGCCAAATGATAGTTTAGACAACCCTTGGATCAAATGTAATTGAGAGAATTGAACTTTCAGGTAAAGAATGATTAAGATAATTGGTAGGTAAACAATGATCAAATCTGATCACAAATTGCATGTAAAGCATGGTCGGGACAACCCACGTACGATTCAAGTATGATTTAGACAACATGTAGGTCAAATATGAATAAGATCAAGTATAGAGCACATATACTTACATGTGACGTTACCATTGGCCCGTGTTCTAGCCACTCATCCATTTACGCCATATACAAGTCATGTAAGACGCTTCAAGGAGCTGTGTGTCACCGTTGTTGGGGGGCTTGTACGGTTCCAACATTTGACGTGCACCCCTTTACCTTATAGCACCACAAATTTGTACCATTCATGTCATGTTCTCAACAACCATGTCAAGATATGACACTTTCAATAATGTGCAACCAGCAGGGCAACTGGTTTTCATTTAGGCACGAGTGCCTATAATATTATGTCCAAGAAGTTTAATTTTCTCCGCAAGATGAATAGCATCCCACCAAAGAGTTCTATTAAATTTCTCATTAACAAATATTTTTCCATTGAACACATAATAATCATATTATCAAAATAATATTTAACGTCGAGTGTCAAAGTATATGTCTCACACCGGAAAGCTATAAAATAGTGTCGAAACAGTAAAATTTACTTTCTGATAAGTTTATTTCATTAACATGTGTGTAAGTCAAATCGGAAAGTTGTTTTGGAAACGGAGGGAGCATAACTTAAAGTTAATAGAAATTAAAGGGAAAAAATTGAAGTTAAAGTTTGAAATCCAAATTCAAAGTTGAAGTTAAGTTACTGAAAATTACCTTTTCAAAATGGAAACGACACTATCAAAATACACAAGACCTAAGCGACTTCCAAGTTCCAAGAGAGGTATTTTGAAAAGGCATTCAATTTTCACACTTGCAGTTTAAATACTCTGTCCGCAAGAATTCCAATATCCAGTTCTTGGCATGGGGACTGACGGAAATTCCCCAATGTCTACAGACAATGAGCTGCTATCCCATCCCCCATTTCCTACTTCTATTCTCGAAGAAGGCAAACCGCTCATCTGCTCTACTGGCAGCGCAGGCGGTGGTGATGGAGGAGACCACCGGCGTCTTCCTTCGTACTTTGATCAGGTCCCTGAGGACCTGTTGAAGAATGTACTGTGCTTCCTTAGCGACTGTCACGATCGCAACGCTGCCTCCCTCGTCTCCAAGTCATGGTACCGCGCGGAGGCGATGACCAGATCCGAGGTCTTCATCGGAAACGGCTATGCTGTACCGCCCCAGTGCACCGCATCTCGGTTCGGTCAGCTCACCTCACTGATTCTCAAGCTCGAGCCTCAGTACGAGTGTTTGTACTTTGTGCCGATTGATGCCCGTTTCTCGCCCTGGGTCACCGTAATAGCCGAGTCTTATCGAACACTCCAGAAATTGTACCTAAAAAATTACATTGTCTCAAACGAAGATATCGACATCCTGGCCCTATCATGCCCGAATTTGAAGGAGCTGGTGTTGGTTCGCTGTAAAGAAGTTGGGACCTATGGACTTGGCAGGGTTGCTAGAGAGTGCAGTAATTTAAGGGTACTCGAGGTGATTGAATGCCATGGTAAGAGTGACAATGTGGACTGGATTTCATGCTTCCCCGATGATAATACATTAATTGAGTCTTTGATCTTCGAAGATTCTATTATGTTTGGGTGTTTGAATTTTGATGCCTTGGAGCAGCTGGTGACAAGGTCTCCTTGTTTGAAGAGACTTAGGTTGGATGACGTTGTTTCTATTAGCCAACTCTATCGCCTAATGATCAAAGCTCCTCTGCTCACCCATCTGGGAATAGGTATATTTATTAACTCAAGTGAACAAGAAGCTGCTGTGGGTGAACTAGAACTTCACTACGCTTCTGCTTTTGCTGTATGCAATTCATTAGTTTCTCTTTCTGGATTCAGGGATGAACTTCCTATTTATCTGCCTGCTCTGTATCCCATTTGTGGCAACCTGACCTCTCTCAATCTCAAATATACTCTCATCAGCTGTGAACATTTCAAAGAAGTCATTTTTCACTGCCATAAACTAAAGTGCCTGTGGGTGTCTGCTAGAGTCCGTGACGAAGGGCTCGAGGCAGTAGCAGCAACATGTAAGGATCTGCTAGAGCTTCGTGTTTTCCTGGATGAGTATGCCATTGATGATGATGACGACGACGATGTTGACGTTCCTGTCTCTGAAGTTGGTTTGCTTGCAATTTCTGAGGGTTGCCCGAGACTAGAATACTTATTATATTTCTGCAATAGAATGAGTAACGCAGCTCTTGTTGGACTGTCAAAGAACTGCCCAGATCTTTTGGAATTCCGTCTCCACACATCAGGGTGGAGAAGTCGGGACTACTATACGCGGGGCTCAATGGATGAAGGGTTTGGGGCGATTCTTATGAACTGTAAGAAGCTTACACGCCTTCACACATCTGGTTTATTGACAGATCAGGCTTTATGTTACATTGGACAGTATGGGAAATCACTGCGTGCTTTGTCTTTCGGTGTTGCTGGAAAGAATGAAATGGGGCTGAAATTTGTGCTCGACGGTTGCCCTAACTTACTAAAGCTTGACATAAGTGATTTCCGATTCGGTGATTCAGCTTTGCGTTCTCTTTTGCATCATTTTTACAGGCTGCAATTTGTGAAGATTTCAACACGCGGGGTAACTCATCAATGCTGTGAGGAAATTGCCCGCCAATTACCTCAGTTGGTAATAGAAGTGGTTGCCAAGATGGCCATACCTTCGGATCAGAGGGGCTATGAGCCTATGACACTCTATTCATGTACCGATCTCTTGATGAGGCAAGCACCATATGGACCAAAGTATGTGCAAACCTTCTAAAGTTATATGATGTCACTGGGAAGAATAACATCCCTTTGTTTACCTGACCCTACTCTGCTGATGGTGGTTGTTGTGTCTCTATGAGTAATTTCCATCATGACTGAGCAATGAAGTTTTATTTTGATGGTCCATTTTCTATTGCGCAATTTTATTGTGTAATGCTTAAAGCTTCTTTGCTCACCTATGCTATTAAAATGTTGTTCATTTCCTATTCAGTTTTGAATATTTATTCTTCATGGTGTTCATTTCAGCTAAAAATAACCTTTGACCACTGCAATGGGAAGGGAATATGGTTGTGTTGCAGCACTCAGCTGATTTAGTTTTAGGACAACAGCAAAAATATTACTTCTACACTTTTGTAAGACACTTTTGGAAGACACAAATAAGAAAAAAAATATAATTAATAGTCTCACATAGGAGGATTTACCCTACGTAAAAATTTGAACCCAGAAGTTCACAATCTATCAATATGACAGATTGGCTGAAGATCTAGGCTCAGCCTTGATACACAAGCCCGGGAAGATACAGCCCAACACACCCAGCACGCCCACTTCCTGCTGGACGGAACTCTTTATGTCCAGCCAGACTTTGATGAAGAGGTTCTGATCTTGGGGACCTGCACACCTTTATGATACAGCTTGTGTGAGTTCTTTATTAATCAGACTATCTAACCGAGAGATAACATGTTGTTCAATAAAATACTCGCCATACAGCACACTTTTAACCGGCTAAATGTAAATGACTGTTGTACCTTTGACGGTAATTGATGAGACCTTTTTTAGCGAGAAAATGACCATAAATTCCACAAGATTTTATACATAGATAGATAGATGGGTTATTTATTTATGGGAAAAGGGGCAAATAAGCCCTCGAACTAATCAAAAAAGTGCAAATAAGCCCTTTTGTAGGAGGTTCCATCCAGTCATCGTCATTTGGGAAGGTTCACGGTGGAATTTTTTGATGTAATTTTTTGAGCATCTTATTCATTAAGTCTAGTTTAGTCCTATTGAATTTCAGCTAAAAATTCAACCGGGAAGACAGTCAAATGAATTTTTGAAGATAACTGCGCAGTTAAACCACACAGTACATTTCCGAAAATCATTTGAGTGCTTTCCCGGTTGAATTTTTAGCTGAAATTCGGTATGGCTAAACTAGACTTAATGAAGAAAATGCTCAAAAAAATTCATCAAAAAATTCCACCGAGAACCTCCCCAAATGACGATGATCGGACAGAACCTCCTACAAAAGGGCTTATTTGCACTTTTTTTTATTAGTTCGAGGGCTTATTTGCCTCTTTTCCCTTTATTTATGGATGTTCAATTACAGCAGACTGCTTTTAGATCCTATTTTTACTTTTTTTTAACGCATGATTTCACAACATTGTTTTTACACAAGGCCTATATTATGTACCGTAAACTCATTCGCCACTTGCACTATAAGTCGATAATTTGAACAAGAAATAACATTTATTTATGCATACGTCAATGACCAATTTACAGCACAAATAAATTTTTACACCACTTTGTTAGTTCCTCCACGAATTAAAACGTCTAATATCAATAGAACTGTTCTGCAAATAAGTTGCCTAATTTGTAAAAAAGAAGTATTGTTTTCCAGCAAGAATAGACAAGATAACTCAATAGCAAGACACACGATAAGATTGAACCAGCCATGTTATATTAACGTAACTTCTCCCATAAGTATTTCAGGTTAGGAAGAATTTTCAAATGTCAGCCAAACACCCCAGAAAATTATTCTGATTCTAAATTTTAGGAGTAAAATCAGTTCCAAGAGAGACAAAAAAACACAGACAATGGTGAAAAGCAACGAAGAAGAAGAAAAAAATTCTTTTTCTGATTCCAAAAGAAAAAGTAAAAAATTAGCCATCCCAAGACATTTAAGGGGGTATGCTTAGAAGTTTTCCGAAATAGCAGAAAACAAGAAGAAAAAAAATACACATTTCTTTGCCCTTATCATCATTATCATCTCTTGCGTTTGAATTAAAGTAAAATAAAAAGTAAAAAGGACTTTGGAAGGAAAATAAAGTTAAAAGGTTATAGATTTACAATTTTAGCCATCATAACATACCCAATAAATTTAAGATGCAGGGGAAAAACATGTTTGGAAATGAATAGTGATGTTCTTTCATTTTGGAGAAAGAGGTTGCAGTGTAAGACCAATTTACTTTCCATACTTGTCTTACCTTCCCTCGCAAATGAAGTGTTATCTCACCATATTGTATTTTTCATATCTCTTTCTTTCCAAATTTAAAGTTAGAACAAATATATAAGTTTACCTCCAAATGTTATGTTCAGCACATGCTCAGCCCACCAATGCAAAACCCTTCATTTATGATAAAGCAAAGTAAGAATAATCTGTATGTAGTTTGCAATAAATCATCATCACCACCACATTAATGCAAACTACTTGTTTTTGGTGACAAATGTTGAAACCCTAACCCTATTTGCATTGGGCTAGTAGTCAGCCCTAATGGAAGCTATAAATATGGCTATTGCTGTAATGCTTTAAGATATCAATAATAAGAATGAGAGTTCTATTTCACATGGTGTGAAATAAATATAGCTATTGTTGTAATTCATTACTACATCAATAATTGTTTAAGCTATCATCATCTATCAACCCCTTACAGCACATTTATTTCACACCTATCTGATGTGCATATTCCTAAAACCATCCATGAGGAATTGTCACATCCGCAGTGGCGTTGCGCCATGTTGACTGAGATGGAGGATGCACATTCTAGTGGGGTGTAGGAATTAACTTCATTTCTTCCTGGAAAATCATGGTTGTTTGTGTGGTTTTGTATTGTTAAGGTTGGATGTGACGGATAATTGATTGTTTTAAAGCATGTATGATAATTAATAAAGGGGTATATTTAGGTTTAGGAGTTGGATTATACTGATATATACACCTCTGTGCCCAAAAATGCATCTTTTCGATTGCTTTTGTGTATGGCGTCCACGAGTCATTGGTCATTGCACCAATTGGATTAAAAAGTTTTTCTATATGGTGATCTCGAGGAGGAAGTTAGTATGTAGCAACCACTGAGTTTTGTTACTTGGGAAATTTGGTGATGTTATTTATGGATTTGGCATGATCTTAAGTGATGTTGATCATTCTGTTTTCTATAGACATTCCACAAGAAACAAGTGCATTTAGTTATTTGTATATGTCGATGACATTGTCGTTAGGGAAAGGTGTCAATTTGATCCTCGTACTTTCAAGAAAAAGTCAATTAGGTCCTCGTACTTTAAAAAAACAATCAAATCCCCGAACTTTGTAAAAACGTTCAATTGAGTACATTTGCAGGTTACCATATGACGTGGTCCATGTGTGCGCCATGTCATACGTAATCAGCAAATGGCTGATCGGGCTTCCACGTGTGTGCCACGTCAGCAAAATTATTGCTGATTGGGCTGCCACATGTGCGCCACGTCAACTAGTAATATGCACATGTACTCAATTGAACGTTTTTATAAAGTTTGGGGATTTGATTGATTTTTTTATAAGTACGAAGACTCAATTGACTTTTTCATGAAAGTACGAGGACCAAATAAACAGTTTTCCCTTGTCGTTATAGGTGACAATGAACATGAAATCACTCAACTCAAGGATTATCTCTTAAGCATTACCCAAATAAAAAGATTTGGGTAAGCAAAAATATATCACTGATATTGAGGTTGCATAGTCTCACAACGGTAATGTCTTTTCCCAAAGGAAATATGAGTTCAATATTCTAGAGGAAGCAAGTATGTTGTAGTGTAGGACCATGTAATGGCCCTTGTTGCACGTGAGATTTTGTGGCTAAAGCACTTCGTTCAGGAAATGAGGTACGAAAACATGAAAGATGGAACCAGTGGAGTTGTGTGCGATAACCAAACTGCAATGCACATTGCATCTAACCCTGTTTTTCATGAGGTGACTAAACATATTGAAGTTGATTGTCACTTCATCCAAGAGAAGATTTTAAGTGGACAAATTATCACAAGTTATGTCAGCACGAAAGATTAGCTTGTAGATGTTTGAACACAATTTCTTCAAGGTCCTAGAATAGAGAACATTTATACCAAGCTTGGCGCATGCGAATTATATACTCAAACTTGAGGGTGAGTGTTGGAATGCTAACCTTAACTGAATTAGGCTCAATCCACTTTCTGTAGTTAGCCCTAATTGTATCTAAATAAAGCTATTGTTTTAATGCGTTAATGCATCATCAGTAGGAATGAAACTCATATTTCACAACATGAAACTTACTGTCAATTATTGAATTAATTGTGTAAAATTTAGTTAACACTTGTTAGTTCATGCAAACAGTGGCAAACTTTTGTGCTTGATCATTTGATGTTGCATACTTCCTGTCATGTTTACTCTTTAGAGTTGGTTGGTATTTAAATGGTGTTTTTTTCTTTTTAAACACTGACCCTAATTTTCTTTCGTCCATCAACCTTTTTAGACACAATCCAGAGAGCCTGCCTCTTCATTTTTTTGTTATCACCAATACTGAAGCAATCCTTCGGAGCCACTAGTTTATTCTTTCCACTCTATCTCCTTCTAATCCGTCTTATATTTTCGTTTCCCCTCCTTTTACCCCCCCCCCCCCTCTCCCCCCCGAATCTTCCATTTATAGGTAGCTTATTACCTTGTCATATGAAAGGAGTCTAAAATGAGGATAAATTTATAAGTTTAGATTGTAATGCGGGCAATGGATGGTGTTATTAGTTTTGAAGATTCCTAATTAACAAAATTAGAATCTTAGGCCTTAAGCATGTTCTGAGTTTTTTGTATGGTTTGGCATGGACATTTTATCCCTTCATGCCTTATTAAGAACAATACTATGTGTGCTTTTAATTTCAACATGCCAAGCTCTAATTCCACTAACTAATAATGAATTATCTATTGTGCCCCATTTCACCATGTCTATTCACTTGCTCTGAGGGCCAGCTTTATATTTTAAAACCTTGCCCACACTGGATCCAATAAAATTGGAGCTAACATACTGCAGTTGGAAAAGAGGAAGTAAAAACAACATCACACTATGAAAGGTCCAACATGAGGTTAGGGGAACTAGAGCCTCTAATGGGTTGTAAACTTGTAACTCAGATCAATTGGGAAGAAAGGAGAAGGGGAAACCACAAGCTAAACCCGCTATTGCAATAACGTGTTAAGAAGAGAGGATGATTTTGATCATATCCACCAACCTTACTATTAGGATGGCATGATGCAAATAGAAAAATTTCCAAAAAAAAGAGTAAAAACAAGGCAATTTCCTTAAATAGGGGTATTATGTTTTCTCCCAAATTAGGAGTAGAGTGCTTTTATCTTATTGATAGTACCTGATAGAGTATTAAATTCTAAAGAGAAGTGAGAGCTAAAGAGAGAAAATGAGCAATTATTATTTCTCAACCCTTTATAACTACCCCCTAGGGGCTATTTATAGAAGCAAATGTGGATTTGGACTCCTACCCATGGGCTTAGGAGGCCTATTACAATAATTGTGCCTCTTTTGTGCGTAAAAAGGTCACTAATAGGCTGAGTACATGACTTAGTAGATTAAGTAAGAAAATACATTTTGTTGGGTCATTTCCGGCCGATCGGGTACCTTTTGGCCGACGCGGTCCCCTGGCCGATGCGACCCCGGCTGATGGGGCCCAATTCATCTCTGGGAAACGTTCCAGGTAACTCTGGTTCTGGCCGTTGCGGGACCCACCTGGCCGTATAGTGCCACATGGATGTCCCTCTCTGGTGTCTTTGATCTTGAAATGGCATAGAAATGGAACCGACCCAATCAAGTTCCAAGAGATCATTGAAAAGACGTTCCATTTTCACACTTCCAGATTAAGCATGTTTTTACTTGGACTGTAATTTGCCCTAAACCAGACCAGTCCAGACCAGACCAGGCAAGTTCAGACCAAACCAGACCAGACTTGGATATTTATAAAAATACAAACAAATAGACCTTATCAGACCAGACCAAACCAGACCAAACCAGACCAGATCAGTAAAAACATCCTAAATACTCTTCCCGCATGAAATTCCATAGCCAGTCTACAGACAATGAGCGGATGTTCCCCAATGTCTACAGACAATGAGCTATCGCATCCCTCATTTCCTACTTCTGTTCTCGACGAAGGCGGTTCTGGCAAACCGCTCATCTGCACTACTGGCAGCGCAGGCGGCGGTGAAGGAGGAGACCACCGGCGTCTTCCTTCGTACTTCGATCAGGTCCCTGAGGACCTGTTGAAGAATGTACTGTGCTTCCTTAGCGACTGTCACGATCGCAACGCTGCCTCGATCGTCTCCAAGTCATGGTACCGCGCGGAGGCGATGACCAGATCCGAGGTCTTCATCGGAAACGGCTATGCTGTACCGCCCCAGTGCACCGCATCTCGGTTCGGTCAGCTCACCTCACTGATTCTCAAGCTCGAGCCTCAGTACGAGTGTTTGTACTTTGTGCCGATTGATGCCCGTTTCTCGCCCTGGGTCACCGTAATAGCCGAGTCTTATCGAACACTCCAGAAATTGTACCTAAAAAATTACATTGTCTCAAACGAAGATATGGACATCCTGGCCCTATCATGCCCGAATTTGAAGGAGCTGGTGTTGGTTCGCTGTAAAGAAGTTGGGACCTATGGACTTGGCAGGGTTGCTAGAGACTGCAGTAATTTAAGGGTACTCGAGGTGATTGAATGTCATGGTAAGAGTGACAATGTGGACTGGATTTCATGCTTCCCCGATGATAATACATTAATTGAGTCTTTGATCTTCGAAGATTCTATTATGTTTGGGTGTTTGAATTTTGATGCCTTGGAGCAGCTGGTGACAAGGTCTCCTTGTTTGAAGAGACTTAGGTTGGATGACGTTGTTTCTATTAGCCAACTCTATCGCCTAATGATCAAAGCTCCTCTGCTCACCCATCTGGGAATAGGTATATTTATTAACTCAAGTGAACAAGAAGCTGCTGTGGGTGAACTAGAACTTCACTACGCTTCTGCTTTTGCTGTATGCAATTCATTAGTTTCTCTTTCTGGATTCAGGGATGAACTTCCTATTTATCTGCCTGCTCTGTATCCCATTTGTGGCAACCTGACCTCTCTCAATCTCAAATATACTCTCATCAGCTGTGAACATTTCAAAGAAGTCATTTTTCACTGCCATAAACTAAAGTGCCTGTGGGTGTCTGCTAGAGTCCGTGACGAAGGACTCGAGGCAGTAGCAGCAACATGTAAGGATCTGCTAGAGCTTCGTGTTTTCCTGGATGAGTATGCCATTGATGATGATGACGACGACGATGGTGACGTTCCTGTCTCTGAAGTTGGTTTGCTTGCAATTTCTGAGGGTTGCCCGAGACTAGAATACTTATTATATTTCTGCAATAGAATGAGTAACGCAGCTCTTGTTGGACTGTCAAAGAACTGCCCAGATCTTTTGGAATTCCGTCTCCACACATCAGGGTGGAGAAGTCGGGACTACTATACGCGGGGCTCAATGGATGAAGGGTTTGGGGCGATTCTTATGAACTGTAAGAAGCTTACACGCCTTCACACATCTGGTTTATTGACTGATCAGGCTTTATGTTACATTGGACAGTATGGGAAATCACTGCGTGCTTTGTCTTTTGGTGTTGCTGGAAAGAATGAAATGGGGCTGAAATTTGTGCTCGACGGTTGCCCAAACTTACTAAAGCTTGAGATAAGTGATTTCCGATTCGGTGATTCAGCTTTGCGTTCTCTTTTGCATCATTTTTACAGGCTGCAATTTGTGAAGATTTCAACACGCAGGGTAACTCATCAATGCTGTGAGGAAATTGCCCGCCAATTACCTCAGTTGGTAATAGAAGTGGTTGCCAAGATGGACATACCTTCGGATCAGAGGGGCTATGACACTCTATTCATGTACCGATCTCTTGATGAGGCAAGCACCATATGGACCAAAGTATGTGCAAATCTTCTAAAGTTATATGATGTCACTGGGAAGAATAAAATCCCTTTGTTTGCCTGACCCTACTCTGCTGATGGTGGTTGTTGTGTATCTATGAGTAATTTCCATCATGACTGAGCAATGAAGTTTTATTTTAATGGTCCATTTTCTATTGCGCAATTTTATTGTGTAATGCTTAAAGCTTCTTTGCTCACCTATGCTATTAAAACGTTGTTCATTTCCTATTCAGTTTTGAATATTTATTCTTCATGGTGTTCATTTCAGCTAAAAATAACCTTTGACCACTGCAATGGGAAGGGAATATGGTTGTGATGCAGCACTCAGCTGATTTAGTTTTAGGACAACAGCAAAAATATTACTTCTACACTTTTGTAAGACACTTTTGGAAGACACAAATAAGAAAAAAATATGATTAATAGTCTCAAATAGGAGGATTTACCCTACATAAAATTTTGAACCCAGAAGTTCACAATCTATCAATATGACAGATTGGCTGAAGATCTAGGCTCAGCCTTGATACACAAGCCCGGGAAGATACAGCCCAACACACCCAGCACGCCCACTTCCTGCTGGACGGAACTGTTGATGTCCAGCCAGACTTTGATGAAGAGGTTCTGATCTTGGGGACCTGCACACCTTTATGATACAGCTTGTGTGAGTTCTTTATTAATCAGACTATCTAACCGAGAGATAACATGTTGTTCAATGAAATACTCGCCAGACAGCACACTTTTAACCGGCTAAATGTAAATGACTGTTGTACCTTTGACGGTAATTGATGAGACCTTTTTGAGCGAGAAAATGACCATAAATTCTACAAGATTTTATGAGAATTGCTCTTTGTACACGTTATTATACCCACTGTATACACGTTATATGAACCTAAAAAAATTACCCCTCTTGTCTCACCGAGTCTTTCCCTCCTCTCTCTTTCATTCCTCCTTCTGCATCCTTTTCTTTTCTTACTAAACTTTCCCAAATCCCTAATCCGAGCTAGATCTTTTTCGTCGTCGCTTGTCTTCAAGTCTGAATCTAACACGAGCGGCGTGATTGAAGCTGGATTCGAGCTTTTCTCCTGTCTCCCAGCCACTTTGTAGCGGTAGTTTCCCGGCGAACACCACCACCGCAACGCACCGCCTCCACCCCCCAATTCCTACACCCAAGTACCCACCTCCTTTAAGATCCCAAAAAAATCCACTGAAGAGTAACCAAGTGCCGGCCGACCTGACTATTGAACTCCCAATACCTCAAAGCCGTGAAGTCCATCTTGGTAAGTCTAGTTGGATTAGTGTTTTTGTTTTTATTTCTTTTACACACTAGGTTTGTCTTCTTGAAGTCTCATTTTATCTAGTTTATTTATGTATGAATTAGTATCTGGCCCTCTATTATTTTTCTCCTTTGTTAAAGATATAAAGGTTTATTCTTGACCATCTTACAGATTCATGATATTTAAGTGTGGGCTTCTGAATGTATTAAGTCTGCCAATTTTGAAGTTTACCCGGACTAAATTGCTCATTTTGATTTCAACTTGTGTTTTATCCTATTGTCTACCTCATTCTTGCAATATATTCATGGCCTTGTGCGTATAGTTAGAATTTTGTATTGTTCAAATGGAATGACAACACAATAACACATCGTTGGCACTTGGCAGTGTGTATTGCCTGCTTTGTGCAGTTTAACAGGGCAGAGTTATCTTCATCATCTTTGTCCACAGTTTCCAGTTATGCTATGACAACCAGCTGCAGTACTTTATCCAAAACTTATACAGGATGCTCCAGGAGGGTTAACGAAACAAGAAGCTGATGAATTTTGAGAAAGGGGTAAAAATTGCTTTCTATATGCAAATTAGGTATTATGCAAGTTTTCACGCATTCTTATATACTCCCTCAGTCAACCTTCCCCAAAAAGTCTTTACTCTTCTACATTATCACTCCTACTGTCTTTTTTAAATTTTATCAATCCAACCTCTTTGATGACACATTACAGATCAAAGAAGAATGAATATCAAAGAGGCAATGATGATGAGCCTTCATAGATGATGAGTCTCTTTATATATTTGATCAAGACATGTGATCAGATTATGGCATACAATGGATTCAAAAAGTCAAGCATGAGGGATTTAAAGCCAAGCATAGCCGAATACTGCATTCTTGCAATTAGTTATATTGTAAAGTTAATGTTCTTATTTGCAATGAAACCACAATTAGAAATGTTTGTGTTTTCAAAGAGTATGCTTTGCATGTATTAAGAAAATGACTTTGGATTTTTTTAAGGGAATTGAAGTTTTGGTATTAATACATGTTGTAAGTTGATTGAAAAATTAAGTTGTTATGTATACTCAGTTTGGTGATTTGTTATAGGTAATTTGTCTACACATAGACAAAATAAAAAAAAAACATATAAAAAATAAATGAACAAGTAGATAATGCTTTAACCATTCACAAATAATATAAAAAATACACGGAAAATTATGTTCTGCCCACAAGACAAAATAAATGAACATAACAATGTTTCACAAATAATATAAAAAATACACGGAAAATTATGTTCTGCCCACACACAACGACACAAACAATATAAACGAACACAAATAAAATATGACTTCTACACATCAACAAAATAAATGAACATAAAAACAATGTTTTAACCACACACAGACAATATAAACAAACACATAGACGATTATTTTCTATACACATAAAATAAACGAACACAATGACAGTGCTTTCATCACACAGAGTCATAGACAATAATTTTCTTATCAGCATTTCAAATAAAATTACCAAATATATAGACAATATAAACAAACACATAGACGATTATTTTCTATACACATAAAAAAAAAGAACACAATGACAGTGCTTTCATCACACAGTGTCATAGACAATAATTTTCTTATCAGCATTTCAAATAAAATTACCAAATACATACTCATTAATAAGGTAACATACTGAGTAAAGAACATTACTTTAAAAGTGACTATTACAAGAATTAAATATTAGTTATCTTGTGTTTTGAACCTATTACAAAGTAACTTTACAATGTAAATATTGGTTAGCTTGTGTAATAGACATAGTAATGACAACAACAAATATAGCATTCTTCAGGTTGTCGCCCGGCCATTGTTGCCTTTTTCTGACCAAACTGCAAGGAATCAATGAAAATTAAAAGAAATATTAAGATGGTAATGAATAAAATTTGAGTAATAAGAACATAATTGTTTTACATAAAAAAGAAAATAAGTTTATTAACAACACTTCTAAGATTCTACTTTCCCATAATCTCCCTTTTTATCTCAAATAATTAAATAAGATATAAGTGGACCATTTAACTTGAACTAAAAACAGAAAGAAAAAAGATATAAAAATCACTAATCCAAAAACATTTAAAAGAAAAACTCAAAAACAAAGGTTGTAGAGTGGAGTGTAGCACAAAGATCATTGTATAAGTTTCTACTAATTAGCACTTGGGTAGCAAGTAATTTTTGTTACCAAGTAACTAATTAAGCCTTACCCACGAAAGTTTAGAGCTACTCTATTATTAAGGACTATAATTCTGCCACAAACTCAACATGATGATGCATCATCAATTTTTAAAAATCAAGATTTAAATGAATTAACATTTAACAAATACGAAGTACTTCACTTGCATGAGTACTACTAGAAAATGTGTCACCCGCGTCCCAAAGAAAAATCTTCTTATCACAAAAAGACTATATATTACCTGTACCACAAAGAAATCTCTTCTTATCCAAAGACAACAATGTAAAGATTCTTTATAAATCGAGTATAGAAATGAGCAGCAAAGTAATTTATATAAAGTAGCTTAAAACACTTAAAAACATAAAGAAAGGTTGACTAAACAAAAAAAAGTTTAAAATTAAATTAAAGTGATAACCTTTCTTGTGGATATCACTTGTAGTTCATAATGAACCTCTAAGACTGTGTTTAGGACCTAAACATTCATTTCTATAGGTCGCCTCAACTTCTTTGAAGCAACCTCCAACAAAAGAAGAACAAATCAAAATTTCTAAGCACTTCTAAACAAAGTACAAAGTGCAACCTGCAAGTGAAACTCACAAAAGCTTTAAACAAAGTTGAAGTGATCTTAAAAACTGCCTGTCCAGCTTTAAACATACCTCAATTTTAGCATTTTACACTTATATAGTTTTTTTGCCATTATTATGGCCCCATTCATATTGTATACATAAATTAAGCATGAACAACAAGATTAAAGACTAATTAATGTTTTTATATCCAATTGATACTTACAAATAAAATAGTCAAAAATAAACATATAACACGCATTAAACTGTAAATATAAAAAATCAAATCCCCATTAAAAATAAAAGCACATACAAAAAACTTCTAAGATATGAAAAAAATCATTCAAACATTTCAACAAACATGTAATGGACATATAATTGAAATACAATAGGACTTGAATTTCAATGGTTTACATCATAAACCTATATCAAAGAAACAAAATAGTCAAGAATTCAACCTCATAGCATGTATAATTTACTAAATTTGGAAAGAACAAAAAATCTAACCCTATATGAACATAAAAATGGAGTAGATAATTACCCTGATTTTGAAATCTGGGATTGGAATCTGACCCAAATTTAAATCCGAGCTCTCATTCTTTCCAAATGCGGAACTTTCTGTCTCTGATTATCCTTCGAGCGCCCAACACAGATTCAATCTCAGGAAAAAGCGCATCAAGAAGCAAATATATGGAAGATGGCAAGGTAGTAAATTTGCTCGGAGAAGAAACAGGAGCATAAGTTTTTATTTATGTGGCCAAAAAATAGAAAGGAGGAAAAAGAAGAAGAGAAAATGGCGTAGATGAGAAGAAGAAAGAAAGAGAGGAAGGGGAGGGGAGTGAGGATGAATCGAGGAGAGCAAAGGAAGAGCGTGGCCTGGTGGGTAATTTTTCAGCTAAGGAGATGAGGTAATTTTTTTTAGGTATATATAGGGTATTAGAACGTGTACAAATAGCAAATTTGAGATTTTATACATAGATAGATAGATGGGTTATTTATTTATGGATGTTCAATGTTTAGGCGGTTCGGTTCCTAGACAAAATATGTGGAACCGTTTGAAAATATGAAATTTTACTAACGGTTCGGTTCTTATAAATTATTTTATAGAACCGATAAGGAACCGAACCGTTCTTAACGGTTCGGTTCTTGTCATTTAACGGTTCCCAGTCTTTGAAAAAAATCTTACAAATCACGACTAAATTTTTGTCGAAAAGACATTCAACGTTTGAAATTACAAAACAAATATGTTGAACCAGTTAAAGAGAATAATAGTTTTAAATAGTTTGGACCTTCCGAGTTCCGACCCGCTCGAGTTTGGACCTAATGAGAGGTCTAAGAAGCCTAAGAGAACCGGTTGAAGTGAATAATAGTTTTAAATAGTTGAATAACTAAACTAAAATAATGAATGGAATTTAAAAATAAATAAGTAAATATACATAAAATATATATACTCGTAAGAAATATATATAATTTTAATTATTATATATAACGGTTCCTTAACGGTTCCTAGTACATATTTTTTTCAGGAACCGAGAACCGAACCGTTAATAAAAAATAGGAACCGAACCGTTAACAAATAACTAATAAATGTTGGAACCGAACCGAACCGGGTCATAACGGTTCGGTCCGGTTCGGTTCTCCGGTTCTTGGTTCCAAAGTCCCAGCCCTACAATGTTCAATTACAGCAGACTGCTTTTAGATCCTATTTTTACTTTTTTTTAACGCATGATTTCACAACATTGTTTTTACACAAGGCCTGTATTATGTACCGTAAACTCATTCGCCACTTGCACTATAAGTCGATAATTTGAACAAGAAATGACATTTATTTATGCACTAGTTATTTTTACGCGCGATGCGTGATTGAGTTGATGCCCAATGGGCCAATATCAATAATCTCCAAGACAAATAATATTCGTTAACTAAATTTTAATGATATGCCATTTTTTTATAAAGAAAAAGAAGTGGATGGAAAATCCATGGATGAGGATATGGCAGAAGGCCACAAACATTTATGACACTTCATTTAAGTGACACTCATTATTATCACTAACATTTAATAACAAGAGGCGAGGTAGGGCTGAACATATTTTCAAAAAAATATAGTAGTACTGAATCACTAATTAGAGGTAGGGTAAAATACAGACCTTATATATACAAGGGTAATGAACTTTTGCATTACTCTCTTTTTAAGGCCGATTGTGTGATTGAGTAAACACACATTTTCAAGGAAAGTTAATTAAATGTCAATAAGAAGGGTTGGAGAAATCAATAAAAATGTTTCTGTATTAATTTTACAATCTTCACTCTTTGGTTTTCCCAGTATACTGCTGACCAAGACATGTACATTTATTGAATGAATATGCCCACACTGCACCCTAACAATCGTAGATGATAGTGCCAACTTCATAAACCACATCACATTATATACTCGATGCCCAATGATGAATAATTACTTCATGAATCCCTGCAAAAAAAAGTAAACAAGTAGAAGAGGAACTATCATTAGTCCTTCAAATAAAAATGGAAGAAAGTTGAACAGCATGATGCACAGAAGCGATTCATCATATTGTTTCAAGTCCATTTTATGAATTAAACATAATTCTTTTTTATCAAGTAGACTAATTTCAGGTTGCATTTTATTATCTTTAGTCAGCTAAACTATGTTTATGTTTATGTTAATGTAACAAAGGCATGCATTCTTGTCAAGTTGAAACCGGGGTAAGCTACTAATTTATATATTAGCAGTAGACTTAATTTATAATTTCATCTATTATAACATTGTTTGTGACTTTTTGATACCAAAATAAGTTTATCCCGATTAAATAAGTATACCAAAATAGTCTTTGTAACAGAAACTTGAAGGCATTTTATCCTTACAAACTTAAGTGTCGCCAATGATACCAGGCTTACATTGTTTTTAGTGTTATCACAATTCACAATATTCATGAACTCTTCTCTTAACAGCTAAAATCCTTATAAGGATTAAAAGTCTCTTGAAAATTGTTACTCCGTATTAGGTTTAAGTTTCCAGCTCAAAACTCTATTGGAATCCTAAGGAGAAAGTTTAATTTGAGATCTCTTCATTCCTTCTAATGTAACCTCCTGGGAAACATAAACTTTTTGCAGTTGTCATAATATAAAGGAACATTCCAAGAGGTTAAGGCATGCACTAAAGGTCCAAAGAAATTAGTTTCTTCATAAATCTCTGAACTTAATAGGTAAAACAGAGGGTTTTATGAGGATAAAAATGCCGGTATTTAGAAGAAGAAT